ATATAGTGTTAAATCAACCCACATATTGATATAATTTAATACACATTCGGCAGTAGTGCAAATTTGTCTAATTAAGATGTTAAAACAGCAGGTTTATAAAAGAAATTCGTCTTCGTATTCATGTGTTTCTGCATTAATCAAGTTATGAATTTCGGCAGCATATTTAATCCTTAATGTTTCAGCTTTTCGTGAAATTAATTCTTACAGCAATAAAAATAATAAAGATGACAAACGGTATTACATAATATCATTTTACTATGCCTCTACTCGAGATATCCTATGACCCTTTGTATGTAGGATATTAATACACGATCACTATATAAGATCACGGGATATTAAACAATATTCCAGGTCTTATTTGCACAAGAAAACGAAACTTCACTTTCGCTAATACTCAAGACGTTATTATTGCATCTGTAGCTGCGAAACTAGTGAATGAAATATTGCGGATTTTCCAGCTTGTACCTACGTACGTACGCATGGCAATATGCACCGAGACACTATCAAGTCACACAAAACTTAATTCAAATCGTTAAGGAACGCCTTTGCCAGAAATTGATATTGATATGGGTAGGTAACACTTTCACAAATGACGCATTCAAACAGCAGCAGCAACATTTTCACAATGACACATACTACACAGAATTCGAACAGAATTCGAAGAGAAATTAAACATACGAATGATATTGATATCGGATTTTTCCCTAATTCAGTGCTGCGGTATATGATTGATCCGGCATAAAATTAGCTTTAAAAGTATGTAGGCACGTCCCATACTCGCCCACGTTCGATCTTATACACTGCCCTGATCCATTGACTATTTCCAATTTTGAAATATTTTCCAGTTGAAAATTTCTAAGACAGGAATGAATTTGCTGATTATCATTCGGGTCCTAAACATGGTCGAGATTTCACTTATTGTGTTACGATTTTCTTAATTAGACAAATTTGCACTACTGCCGAATGTGTATTAAATTATATCAATATGTGGGTTGATTTAACACTATAT